TAAAGGTTAAGGATATTTAAAGAATTTCAGCGGCGGTTTAAATTTAAGCCGCGGCTTAAATATGGTTGGTTCCACTTAAAATTGTATCAAATGTTTCAAGATTTAAGCCAATTCGCTTAATTTAAACCGGGTTTTGGCAGATTTAAACCACGGCTCAAATTCATTAAATTCCATCTCTGATGGTGTAAACCTTAAATATTTCAAACTCAGATTATTTAATGTAAAAAAATTAAAAGTTTGAAATATCTTAGGTACACGATGTTGGATTGCAAAGATATAGGAATTAAGAAATAAGAGTTTGTTACAAAGACTCAATTTACAGAAGATTTGTAGAATATTGTTTAGATTGCATTTTCTTTATTCAGACAAATTTTGCATCCATTTTCTTTTTACTCACTTTATTATTAGACTGACCTAAGTGTTTCCTGACCTAAGGTGTTTCTGATATAAATGAGTCTTTGTCACAAACACTGCTTTTCTAAACCCTATATCTTTGGATTCCAATGTCGTATAGACCTTAGATATTTCAAAATATGAATTCTGCTAGATAAAATAATATAAGTTTGAAATATCAAAGATGTACGACATTGGGTTTTAAAGATATAGGGATTAGAAATTCAGAGTTTGCGGCAAAGACTCAATTCCTTTGTATTAAATCTTAAAATAGGTTAGGTCGGGTTAATTTTGGTAAGAGGAGTTGGATGAGGATCAGATAATGAGAAGTTGATTAAAATCCATAAAAACGCGTGATGAGTTTAACCCTATTCCGATTGGGCTATTTTTGTCTAATATAGATGGGAGGGGGGTGTTCCTCCCCAATGATTTTGCCCTTGTAGTTGAGATAGAGGAGTGTAATACATGTCCAACTTTTTAAGGCCTACTCATTAAAAAAAAATAGACCTCTATCTTTCAAGAAGTGTTAGCGTTCTAATGTCAGCCGTTTTTAAGTTATTTAGATAAAAACACAAGGGGGTTGGAACCACCCTTCCCCCAAATCGTGATAGGGTTAAACTACTTTTATTTTCTAAACTACTCAATAATTAGTTCGGATACCCTTTAGGTCCGTTTCTAGGTCGGATTCCATAGCATCGTATCATAAAATGCCCTTATCATTATACGCTTAATTCTTAAGCTACCTATCCATCACTACTGATAAAGTTTTAAATTATTTACATTTTTGTTTATTTACTTTATTTAACCTTTAAAATTATTAGTTTATTTCACTTTAACACTCCTAATCTTTTTGGATTAGAATTAAGCGCAGTTTTAGGAATTAGCAGCATTTTCATTTTTCATCTTAGGAAATCAAAATTGTACAGTTTGTACGAAATTCCAGGATTCAAAAAAAGTTTGTAAATTAAATCTGATTTTATAATGTATTAGTTTAATTATTCATTCATAAAAGATCCGAAAATAAAGCTAAAACTGTAAAAATATTAAAATTCAATATTTACCACTAATTAATTAATTAAAAGCACTTTTTAAGAGAGTTTTACGAAAATCGCTCAATTTCA